CTGCTGCTGACGGCGTCACCAGGCGGGTGCGGCTCACGCGCCGCCTTCCAGGGTGTTTTCTGGTTCGATTTTGGTCCTGTCGGACTCCATTTTTCAAAATAAAAACATTTATGGTCTTAAAAATGGCATTTAATGAACATAAAAATGATGTATTTTTTGCACTCTCAATCTAATGAGAGTGGAAGTGCAGAAACCATGCACTTCATCTTCCTCCTTCATTAATTTTCATACATCTAATGTGTATATATTTATATAAAATTATACACCTCTTTTAATGCATAAAAAAAAAACGAAAATACCCATATTGGCTCTGATACCAATGTAAATCATAGTATTATAACGTAGCGGGAAAAATATTTAGATCATACTTTTAGGTGATAGAACCTCGCGGATAAAACACGTGCTTCCAAAATCTGAACAACGAACCCAGCAGTGGAGTGATACTACAAAATGAGTATTACCCAAGTCACAGTGCAAAATGACTTTGTGGAAACAGTAAGTGTCCAGAAGAGTCAGAGAGGGAGTATGGAAAAAAAGGTTATAGGTAAAAATCACATAACGTATCTAATATACGTATCTGATATATCAATATATTATCTAAAATATATAATCAGATATATAACCACCAATATCATATCTATTGATATGATAGATATAGATATCCTGAATGGTTATCCAAATATGTTTTGAATTAAAATTCAAACTTACATGGATAAGATTCAAAATGTTCAAGTTCAAAAGGTTCAAAGGATCATGTCACATGGGCACCTAATTTCTAACAAATATATATTACGTGGTGAGAGGGTAATTTATGATCTGGAGTTGGGCCGAGGTAACGGCCGAGCAAGTTGAGGGCCCAACGGTGCATGGGTCCGAGATGATCGACTTTTTGCCCAAAGTGGGCTGCCAGAACTTGGGCCGGGCAGAGTACGGGCTGAGTGTCACCCCGGACCGGACAGAAACTGCTCGGTAAGGCAGTGCTCGGTCGGACCAGGATGCTCGGTCCGAGGATGGCCAAAGCCGGATTGGCCGAGTGACCGGCGCCCAGGAAGGCGTGGACAACCGAGGAAGTTGAGTGGCCGGTGCCCGGAAAGGCGTGGTCAGCCGAGGAGACTGTATGACCGGCAGGAAGGCCGATCAAAGTAAGTATCCGGGCTAGGCTCGGCCGGGATGCCGCTTAGCCCGGTCCTCCGTGTGTTTATCCGGTTAGGCGCTTGAAGCATGAAGCATGGAATGACCGAGGTAGGGCAGCTCGGCTGCCGAGCTCCAGCTGTGATGACAGGCAGTTGAGATTAGGTGATGAATGGCATGGTTTATGCTGACAGATGGGATAGCAGAGCCACGTGTCAGGAGATGACAGGGAGTGGATATGGGGCTCAGTAGGTATATAAGCATGTCTGCGCCCCCCATACGCGACACTTGCCGGAATATTTGCTCCCCATACACGTGGAATTTATTATACACGTGTCATACAAAGTATTAAATAATTTCCTTTTCTTAATATAAATCTAAAAGTGTGACTCATTCTAGGGATGTACTAGAATCCACCTTGGATGGTAATGCTGCAATTATGTGAGAATTTAAAATGCATAAGGTCAAACTTGGTTTGGGCAAATATCAATTAACAATCCAAGTTTATGCTAATATTTTAAGTTTAAAAATTAGGTCAAATTAGGAAATTCATAGAGGAATATTTGAAGGGTGATTAAAATTTTATTTTACTTCATAAATGCTATAGGATTGTCGTCATGCATGACGCGCTTGAACCTTATAATATGTTTTTTATGTTTGATAACATTAATGGATTGTTTGGCATGCCCTAAATAAGTGTACTTTTTGACTTTTTATGAAATATGAGTTGAGTTTGAAATGATGTGATAGAGAGGTGATGTAACTTAAATAAGATGATGTAACTTAAATAGGATAGTGACTTTTTGACTTTTTAGATGTTTTTGAGGATGTCAAACTTGGCCTAAGAATGGCAATAAAGAAAAAAGAAAATTCAATGGTTTTTTACTCTCTATGAACCTAATAACAAAATTTAGGGTATTTTATCATTTATTTAATGAGATAGGAGAGGTTTGAAGTGGAAATAGAGAACCAAAACTGGTTAATGTTTCATTAAAAAATATCCGAAAAAAATTATATTTTAATCTTCAATGATCTTATGTTAATGTTAATGTTTGTGTGTGTGTCTTTTTTTTTTTTTTATAAAAAAAAAACATTTTAACTCCTACAATCATTTGTCATTATTGACAATAAAACTATATTATTGTGATTTAATACGTAAAAATATAAATTATTGAACTAAATGGAATAAGCACAAATTAAGATAAGGGTGGAGAAGAAATTTAAGGGGACATGGTGGTTTGTAGGTTGGTGTAACAATCTAAAATTTTAATTCATTTTAATTAAATTATTGACATCACTTATGCATCTTATCAACATTTTTTTATCGTTTGTGGATTGACATTTCAACGTTCTGTTATCTACTCTGAACTTTGACATTTGACATTGTATATGAAGTTGGTGGAAAACACCATTGTGCATTATATGTTTAAAATAATAACAATGATAATAATTTTTTGAGTCATAATTAAAAAAATAAAAAATATGATAACCAATCATAACATAAGATATAATTAAAGAATTCATGAGTTATAACTAAAATAACGTTATAATTAAAAAAAAAATTAATTATAATTATAAAAAATAATATAACTAAAAGTGCATATGAAACATTATTTTTAAAGGAGGTGTATATTAGAAATTTTTGGGAGTTGGGATTGATGGTTTTGACTTAAGATTAGACATTTAATAAATTGGGCAAATTACATATACACCCCTCCAGGTTTGGTTAAATTACAGATACCCCCCTGAGGTTTCGGAAATTACATCCCGCCCCCTGAGGTTTGTATTTTCATAACAATTTACCCCCTGAGGTTTATATTTCATAACAAATTACCCCCTAATTTCTTATGCAAATATAGCATTCAGGGGGGAATTCGTAATTTCTCAAACCTCAGGGGGTATCTGTAATTTTGTCAAACCTGGAGGGGTGTATATGTAATTTGCCCTTTAATTTAATTGAGTGAGGTTTGATCTTGAAAATTACTTGAGCGATTGTGAGATTTTTCGAGTCATCTTGTTATACTCTCTTTAATTTAGATTTGTAATTGAGATTTTAGAAGTTAAATTTGTCATTGCAGCGATACTAAAATTACAAAAATTATCTTTTCATGTGGCAAATCATAGACGTGATTAAACATAATAATGTCTAATGGAAAATGCTAGAGGTCCCAAATTTTCTACCAAATAAATGACCAAATGTCTCACATGGGTGTGGGGTCCACAAAATTGCGGACCCCACACCCATGTGTGACATTTGGTCATTTGTTTGATAGAAAATTTGGTGTCCCTAACATTACCCATGTCTAATTTGTTGAATGTTTTAATATTTGGTGACAATACACAATTTCAATTGAATTGAGGGGAAAAACTTCACCAAATGGAAAAAAATTAAAAATTAAAAAAATAAAAAAAATTCTGAAGTAGAAAACTGCTGTTTTCACAATGAAGAATACGGCATCGTATTAAGAACTAAACACATTTCGCTTTCAATGGTGTAGAATGTCCAATACCTACCTACCTAGAACTGTCCCAATCCGGTAAATCCAGCAAAAAAGTTTCTCGTGAAAAGTAAACTTTTTCTAAGCTAAGGTGAAGTTTGATACACACAAAATAATCTATTTTTTATATATTTTTATATATTTTTGTTATATTACTTCTCTATTTTTTTTACATTTTTTTGTAAAAAAATAAAAAATACATTTATTTAGATCATTCCAAATAACTCCTAACTTTATTTTGGCAACGAAAAAGAGGTCTTTATTCTTTTACATATTTTTTATAAAAACATTTAAAAAAAAAACTTAAAAAATTGACTATTTTCTACCATGTAATGTTAGAATATCAAATTTTTTACTAAATAAATATCAAATATCTTACATAAATACAAAATGATGATTTTATAAATTTTACATGTAAAATATTTAATTATTTATTTAATAAAAAATTTAAGATATATAACATTTTTCTTTACTTATTATTTTGATGAAAAATGCTTGGGAGCATTAGAAATGGAGCACTAGAAGGACCACTAATGATGTGGCAGTGGGCCTCACCCACTTTCTATGCCTTGTTTCGAGTAGTGATTCATCCCACTAATTTTTGGATCACTAATAGCTCTAATGAAAAAAAAAAAAAAAAACAAACTCAAGGCAAAACATCACATCACTTTGGTGGGGGACACTGTGCCACATCATTAGTGATGCTTTAGAGCTCTCAATTTAGTGCTCTAAAACATTATTCGCCTTGTTTCTCTTTTTTTTTTTTACCATTCCCAATGCATTAATGCTATTAGTGGTGTATTTTTTAGTGGTCTAAATAGGAATGGCAACGAGTCGGGGATGACACTCCCCGTTCCCGATTCCCGAAGGTAGAAAAATCTCCGTCCCCGCCTCCGATCCCCAACGGGGAACCCCTCACCTCTGCCACCCCCGTCCCCTAACGGGGATCGGGTTTCTCCGACCCTGAAACATCCTCGGCAGATCTGTTCAACACACAACCAAAAAAAAAAAAATTTCTGTAGAATGGAGGCTTCATGGTTCATGATCTGTTCTTCAACACACAACAATCATCAACAACAACAGCAAATATATATAACTTAAAAAAAAAAATGTTCTTCAACAACAAATATATATATATATATATATAATGTTCCAGACCCCCTTTTTCCCCAGTCACAGAGATACATACTGATCTGTATATGTAACACACATAATCAACATCAAAAAAAATAGATCGGTATATGTAACATACAGATCTATGTATCTGTGTCAGAAAGAGAGAGAGAGAGGAGGCCGATCGCGACGCCGCGACGCCGACAGTGGCGATGAGCGACGGAGGAGGCAGATCTATGGCTGTAAAGGATGGAGGAGGCCGCTCGCGACGCCGACAGTGGCGATGAACGACGGAGGAGGCCGATCTGTGGTTGTGAACGACGGAGGAGGCCGATCGCGAAGCCGCGACGCCGACAGTGGCGATGATCGACGTCGTGAACAGGGCCAGAGAAAGAGAGAGTAGAGGGGGTAGAGAGAGAGAGACGGAAGACAATTGGATGAGGGTTTGGTATGGTTACTATGTGTGTCTATATATATATCTAGGGGTAAATTAGTAATTTTAATTCGGGAAAAAATCGGGCCGGGGAACGGGAAACGGGGATGGGGCCGGGCCGAGCCGGGTACGGGGTTCGGATACTTATCCTCGTCCCCGATCCGAATCTGTTCAGGGATTGATTTTTAAATACTATCTCCAACCCATTAGAAGTATTTTTCAAAAAAAATCCACACAATTCAAGATAGGGGGTCGAGTACCCATCGAGCCACTTTCAAATTGCGATCTCTAAGGTCTAAATCATTGTTGTATTTTGATTCATAGTTTTCTTTTCCAAGCAAGCACTAAAAAACAGAGACTTCAAGATTAGACGGAGTGGTGAAGGCATGCCTTGTCGGCCATTAGAGCTTCAATGAAGAGCTCTCACCACTCCTTTGGATACACCTCAACTCTGAAGATTTTCCCATCAGTGTCATTCAAGACCAACCAACCCAAATTTAAATAAAAAAAAAAAAAAAAAAACCCAAAATTCACAACGTGGGTTTGTGTTCTCTCTTGCTTCCTTTCCCGGAGAACTTTCCACACATAAAATAATCCCCAAAACTCTCTGATTCATTGCATTTCATTAAACTCTTTTTTGGGTTCCCAATGCTTGTCCCTTAAAAAAACGTTTGCCTTATTTTTCTTGGAAAATCGTGCATGTAGATTGCAAGATCCCCACCAATCTTGGAAAAAGTTGGGACTATTTGTTTTTTGTTCTACTCCAATTCCTGAACTCCATGGTTTTTGCTGTGTCATCATCTCAAGGAATCACTTGAACAATTGTGGTCTTTGCTGCTTTGGTTCTCTCTTCTCTGATTGGTGATGGACTTAGAGGTATGTCAAGGCTTTGATCTTTAATTGGTTTCTTTGAGATGATTGGTTAATTCACCCCCTCTTGTTCTTATTCCTGCATACCCATCAGTGTTGTTGGGTTTCTTGAATTGTTGGGTTCTTTGAAATGATTGATTCATACTCTGTTCTATGTTGTTTGTGAAAGATTTGTTATTATGGTTCATTTCAGGAATACATATTTTGTTTGTTGTATTTCTGAATTTAACATTGGTTCCAATACATGATACAAATTCTGGTTCAATTGATACTTCAAAACCCTTTTCTAGAATTATGAATGCTTTGTCTTAGCTGTAAATGTTGTGGCCTGAAAATTTGGTTATTCTACGCAGAGTTGTTGAATTATCAGATTATGCTGTTAATATGATACACTAGAGAGTATATAATGTCTGATTCTAGGAGATGTTTGGTTGTGAGGCTTTCCGGAATTTTAGTTATTGTGGTTCTGCTGGTTTATGCTTCAGAAGGGTTGAATTCGGATGGGCTGCACCTTTTGGAATTCAAGAAAACCATCCATGATGAATTTAATTATTTGGGAAACTGGAACCCTAGTGATCAAACACCATGTGGATGGATTGGTGTAAATTGCACATGGAATTATTATAACCCGGTTGTGGACTCTCTTGATTTGAATTCAATGAACCTTTCTGGGATGCTAAGCGCAAGTATTTGCAGTTTGGTTAGTCTTACCATACTTGATGTTTCTAACAATAGCTTCGCTGGAAATATTCCCAAGGAGATTGGAAATTGCTCAAGGTTGGAAAGTCTTTATTTGAATAATAATCAGTTTGTTGGGCAAATTCCTTCTGAGTTGGGCAATTTATCTTCTTTAGCAGAGTTGAATTTGTGCAACAACATGCTTTCTGGTCCTATTCCGGAGGATCTTGGAAATCTTTCTTCACTGATTCAGTTTGTGGCATACACTAACAACATCACTGGTCCATTGCCTCGTTCTCTGGGGAATCTCAAGAACCTGAGAATATTTCGAGTTGGGCAGAATGGGATTTCTGGAAGCATACCCTCAGAGATAGGTGGTTGTGTGGGCTTGGAATATTTTGGTCTTGCCCAAAATGGTTTAGGAGGGAATATACCGAAAGAGTTTGGGATGCTTGGGAACTTGACAGAACTGATTCTTTGGGGTAATCAGTTTTCTGGTTTCATACCGAAGGAGTTCGGAAATTGTATGAATCTCATGACTCTTGCTTTGTACCAAAACAATCTAGTGGGTGAAATTCTTCTGAGATTGGGAACATCACGTTCCTGAGGAAATTATACCTGTACAGCAATCGGTTGAATGGAACAATACCAAGGGAAATTGGTAATCTTTCTTTAGCAACAGAAATTGATTTCTCAGAGAACTACTTAATTGGAGAGATTCCGAAAGAGTTCAATCAAATAAAGGGTCTGTGCTTACTTTACCTTTTTCAAAACCAGCTTACGGGTGTTATACCAAATGAGCTTAGTAGCTTGAGGAACTTGACAAAGCTTGATCTATCTATTAATTACCTCAATGGTCCTATTCCTATTGGATTTCAATACTTTACAGAAATGATCCAGTTACAGCTCTTTCAAAACTTTTTGAGTGGTAGCATTCCTCAAGGACTTGGACTTTACAGCCAACTTTGGGTGGTTGACTTTTCAGACAACAACCTAATCGGAAAAATACCTCCTCATATTTGCTGGCATTCTAGTTTATTCTTGCTGAATCTTGGGTCTAATAAACTCTATGGAAACATTCCATCTGGTGTCACCAATTGCAAATCTTTGGGGCAACTTGGTCTGGATGGAAACAACCTAACTGGGGGTTTTCCATCTGAGGTGTGCAACTTGGTGAACCTTTCGGCTCTTGAATTGGGCCAAAACAAGTTTGGTGGTCCCATTCCTCCGGATATTGGAAATTGCACACAATTGCAAAGGCTTGATTTGTCGAACAATTACTTTGCATCCAAGTTGCCGAGGGAGATAGGAAATCTGTCCCAATTGGTGATTTTTAACGTTTCGTCCAATTTCCTCACTGGACAAATACCGCCCGAAATTCTTAACTGCAAGATGCTTCAACGACTTGATCTTAGCTGGAACAGCTTTGTTGATTCTATACCAGATGGTCTCGGAACCCTTTCCCAGCTTGAGCTTCTCATGCTTTCTGATAATAAGTTCTCTGGAAATATACCCACAGCATTGGGCAATCTCTCTCGTTTGACTGAATTGCAAATGGGCGGCAACTTGTTTTCTGGTGAAATACCTCTGGAGTTGGGCGCTCTTACTGGCCTGCAGATTGCTCTGAATCTTAGTCATAATGATCTCTCTGGGAAAATACCACCGCAGCTTGGGAATCTCATTTTACTAGAATTCCTCTTGCTGAATAACAATCATTTGAGTGGTGAAATACCAAGTACTTTTGGCAATCTGTCAAGTTTATTGGGCTGTAATTTCTCGTACAATGACCTTTCTGGACCCTTGCCTACCGTAGCATTGTTTCAGAATATGGCCATGAACAGCTTCATCGGAAACAAGGGGCTTTGTGGTGGTCCTTTTGGTGATTGCAATGTGAATTCCTCTTTTAATTCAATTCCAATTTCGAAGGATTCAAGTAGTCCTTGGGCTAAAATCATCGCCATAATTGCAGCTGCTGTTGGTGGAGTTTCTCTCATTTTAATTGTAGTTATTTTATATTTGATGAGGCGTCCAGTCGAGGTGGTTGCTTCCTTGCATGATGATGAGATATCATCTTCTTCACTTTCGGATATCTATTTTCCTCCCAAGGAGGGGTTCACTTTCCAAGATCTGGTCGATGCCACAAACAATTTTCATGACAGTTATGTTGTTGGGAGAGGAGCTGTTGGGACGGTTTTCAAGGCAGTTATGCATTCTGGGCAAACAGTTGCTGTCAAGAAGCTCATGTCTAACAGAGAGGGAAGCAACAACATTGAGAACAGTTTTCGAGCTGAGATTTTAACTTTGGGAAAGATTAGGCATCGTAACATTGTAAAGCTCTATGGTTTTTGCTATCACCGGGGTTCAAATTTGCTTATTTATGAATACATGGCAAGTGGTAGCTTGGGTGAATTGCTTCATGGAGCATCTTGTAGCTTGGAATGGCCAACACGTTTTATGATTGCACTTGGGGCTTCTCAGGGACTTGCTTATTTACATCACGACTGCAAACCAAAGATCATTCACCGTGATATAAAGTCCAATAATATTCTTCTTGATGAGAACTTCGAAGCCCATGTCGGTGATTTTGGTTTGGCTAAGATCATTGACATGCCTCAATCCATGTCCATGTCTGCTGTTGCAGGATCATATGGCTACATAGCCCCTGGTAAGCACCCTCTCTCTCTCTCTATTTGCTGACTTATGTCTTGGAGGATCATTCCATTTTACTCTGAATTTGCTTTTCCTTCATGCCAGAATATGCATACACAATGAAGGTTACCGAAAAATGTGATATATATAGCTATGGAGTTGTTCTCTTGGAGTTGCTAACTGGGAAAAGCCCTGTACAGCCATTAGATCAAGGAGGTGATCTTGTAACATGGGTGAGGAATTATATTCGGGAAAATTCATTGACGTCCAGGATACTAGACAGCCGATTAAATGTGAAGGATGAAAGTACAATCAATCACATGATTACTGTGTTAAAAATTGCTTTGTTGTGCACAAATATGACACCGTCTGATCGGCCATCAATGCGTGAAGTTGTGCTGATGCTGATTGAGTCTAATGAGCGAGAAGGGAACTTTGTTTCCTCTCCAGCTTATGATGATGCTTCTTCTTGACGGTATGTTAGGACTGATTATATTCCTTGTATCATTCTCCATCACAAAATCATGTACATTTTTTTTTTTTTTTCAGAGGAAAATATCATTATACTCAGATTTTAAAATATGAGTTGAAGGTAACTAATGTTACTCTCAAAACTTATTTCCATTTTTTTTTTTTCCATTTTCAAATGTAATCGGAATACCATGTGCCATTTACAGCAGTACTATTAGCTGCAGCTTAAAGGCCCTGCTGTGAATTGAATTGCTTGAAAATATTTTCCAGTGTTGTTAGATATTAAATCATTCTAGATCCTCATTAATTTATTTTCTGATCACTGTGGATTACACTTGCGCTTTTCTAATTTAGTTTGATATAATTATTCAATTTTGTATTGAATTGGAAAGATATGCGAGGACAATCCTTTTGTACAACAGATTTTCCATTAGACTTCAGTTGTGGCTTTTGTATTGATTTTGAAATCATCGGCTCTAGAGCTTTGTAAGTTGATATCTTCTTGTTGTTCGAGTGAACCATAGTTTAAAGAAGTGGAAACATCATTAGAAGCAGAAAGCCACGGTATGTGTGAGACGTGAAGCAGATAGCTTGAGAGTTGAACTATAAACTTACTGAGAACCATATTCAGAAACTCTGGTTAAAAAAATTTGTTGGTGTTGAAGGGTTTGATGAACTTTAAATAAATGTTTTGCAGATATTATGTCAAATGATTAGGATATTGTTAGTCACTTTTGTGAATCCGTCTGAGCTTGTGTTCTGCCAAGCAATGCCACACTCCCAAATGTTCATGCGGAATTTCCATTCAAAATACTTGTTATCGGCTATCACTTGATTCCCAAGTTCATCATCCCTAGATTTACAATGAAAGCTGAGACTGATTCCATCACCTAAGTTGTAAACGTCTATCATGGTTTTGGGATGAAGGATTCCTTGTTTTTCTTCCATTTTCTGTTGGGTTGTTGAGAATGGACAGTGCAATCCACAGAACTTGATTGCTAAATGGAGACATCTTTGAAGATGATGGGTAAAGAAAGAGGTTTCGAACTTGTTTGTGATTTATTGAAGGATGTTTTTTCAGATTCTATGCGTCCATGCATTTATTGTGTGTAGCTGAATTTTGCTTTTCTAGTTTGGTCTTTGATAGAAAAGGAAAATCTTGTTAATTGAAACTCTGTTTTGTTTTAGAAAAAAATATTTTTCAAAAATTGTTTATCAAATTTTTTGGCGTTTGATACCACTGTGATTAATAGTAAATAAGTTTATTTAGACAAAATATTTTATATTTTTAAAAGTAAAAAATATTTTCTAAATTAAAGCCCACCACTCCCGTACAACCTTCTGAGGCTTATTGTATTTTCTTTCAATTAAAAAAAGGGCAAAGTACCTGCACATCTCTTGAGATTTAATGAAATTATAGGTTTTCTTCTGCTCCATCACAATTAACGCCGTTAACGGATATCATTAATTGACTAAAATACCCTTTTGACAAATAAAGGTAAATTACATACACTCCTTTGATAAATTACAGATTTTCTTTTGAGGTTTAGCTAAATTATCATTTTTAAATAAGTTATGAAATGCAAAATTAAAATGGAAAAATACTTATCACATTGCAAAAAATTAAGATTTTAGAGACTAAAATTTAAGGACAAAATTATTTTTAGGGGACTAAATATTTATGTTGCGAAAAGTGTTGTCATTATATTTTTAGCAACGAAAATTGAACATTAGTGATTAATTTTATTTTTTGGGTATCAAATTTTGTCTCAAAATATAAACCATTTTGAGACCAAATTATTTTGTTCTTAAAAGCCTATTTATTATTGACATTTTTGAATTTTTATCGCTAAAAGTCTTATTTTTGACTTTTTAGGATGACTTTTTAGCGATTATCCTCATGACGATAGAAATTAATCCCTAAATGTCTTTTATAACAAAATTTTCACATTTAGAGATCAAAAAAGTTGGTCTCTAAAACTCTTATATGTTGTAGTGTTAGATGATGAAAATATCATAAAATTAACAAATAATTAAATAAGTTAAAAACACAAAAAATGACTTGTCAAAAAATTCTTAGAATATGTTTGGTTTGATTTTTAGAAATTTATTTTTATTTTTTTTAAAAAAATTAAAAATTAATTTGGTTAAGAAATAAAAAATAATTATTATTTTTATATAATTTTATCTTTTGAGTGGTTAGAAATAATTTTTACAAATTAAATATATTTTTTCATATTTATTTTTATTAAATTAGTTTTTATTTTATTTTTTAATTCTAAATTCTTTTTCTAAACAACAAATCAAATATGGTTCAAAAAACTTAATTTTTTTTCATTTACAGTGATTCTTTTATAAATTTTGTTGATTTATCAAAGGGATTTTAGTAGGGGTAATATCGTTTGTACGAGCACGAAATAATGTTCTCGTATAATCCTGTTGATCAAGTCTGCGCTCCTCTAAACGTCGTCGCCTTACTCCCTGAAAACACAAACATGAGCTAGCCAGCGGGTGTGTGTTGGATACCTTTCCGATGCCTAAGTCAGAAAAATAAACAAATAGACAAAAGTTCTGTGTATTCGGGAATCAAAGTTGTGTTACCTCCTCCATAGGTTAGCTTTTTATAGGTTCCATGTGGCACAATCCTAGTAGGACTTTTATTCCCCATGTAGAGTCCTCCTAGGAATCACACTCCTGAAAGATAATGCTTATCCTTCAACACTTCCCTCACTGCTTAAACCAAGTGAGATGGTTTTACCTCGGTAGTATGACAAAACGACCGAGCTAATATGGCCATGCTAAAACGGTATAAATGACCGAGCTCCAACTAGCTCGGTTCTTCCCTTCATTGCTTGTACCTCGGTTTGGTCCATCGAGACCGAGCTAACAGCAGTAAGCTTCGACCGAGCTAACGAGAGCAAGGTCCCATCATAAGAAGCCCAAATACCTCGGTTCTGAAAACCATGACTGAGCTAATTATCACCATACCGACCGTGGTAACCACAACCACAATTGAACCGAGCTAACTGCAAGGTCCTTTTACTCGGCCCTTTTTACCGCGGCCCACAGAATGGCTCATTACTCAGTTCGGCCCAATTTACTTATAAATTACCCTCTCAATTGCCTCTTAATTCCATCTGCGCAATATGATTGGGATTACCCATTACCAACTGGGCTAAAAACTTTTGCCTTTCAACGGAGCTAAAATGCTGCCGGTCTACCAATTGGTTAGGTCAAAAAACGTCTCTTTAGTCACGCTGTCATTTGAATCGCTTGCTATTCCATAGACACGTGGCTAGCCCCTACTGGTTGAGCACAGCTGTCAACATCGACTTCGTATCTCGTGAATTTTGAACAGTCCCGCCTTTTTTCGCTCTCTGTACACCAAAACCATATGCTTTGAACCATTCATTTCTACTATTCATTTTCCCTCTCTCTTTTCCTCTGAGTCTCTGTTCTTGCAACTACAGTGCTTGCGAATCTTGTGCTTTTGCTGATATTGTTTCCATCTTCAGTTCCTTCATTCTTGACTGGTATGTGGCTCAAATCTGTTTCCTTTCCGTTTATTTCGTACTGTTTTGTAATACATAGCATATTATGTATGTTTCTCAAAACAGTTTGTAGTTTCCATGGGATATGGCCACTTTTGCCCAAGAACCACGTAATAGATCCACTAGATTCACGAAAAATCTGGGAAACAATGCTTTTGATCCAAAATAATACTTCAACCAAACTAGGAAGTCGTTTGTATTAGGTGCCAACCTAGCCAAACTAAGCAACCGAACTAAAACTTCATGCCATACTTGTAGTTTCAATAGGTCTAAGTACCTTCTGTATCAATTAGTCGAGCTAGCGAACTGTATTAGGTTTGCGCAATACCGCGCTAGAAAGCCTCAACCACCGACCGAGCTATATCTTGGGGCTAAACCAGCTCCCCGACTTAGTCAAAATTGAACTAAAAATGTTGCACCATAAGCTTCAACCGGGCTAAAGTCCCTCGCTCAAACCGAGCTACGAATGGATAGTATCCCACGTAGCCGAGCTAGGACTTTATTTATTTTGCCTTTGTTTCTTTTAGCACGGTCCAACGATCTGTGCTTAACACCTTTCTTTTTCACTTTGCAGACTTAGGTTGGCCAGACACTCCCTTGAACGCTCAACCGAGCTACTCAGCGTTATCTCACCACCGAGTCAGTACTCCAGCTAAATTATACATAATTTAATACCATATGGGGAAATATAGGTTTTTAGGAAACACTCTAGGGGCTATGGCCGAGTTCCGAAGGGACTACAACATCCTTGATGATGTTCACCTTAGTTTAGCTGAACTGGACACCACTCCCTGGGGTAAACCGGGCTTCGTTCCCTTCACCTTTCTTTCTATTGTAGAAACCGGACTCCGATTCCCTGTACAGCCTCTTCTTTGTGAATTCCTCAGACAAACAAATCTCTGCCCTACCCAGCTTTCCACAAATTCATACCGAATAATAAATAGCATCGCCGAGCTAAACCGCCGGCTTGGCGTTAACCTCGGTTTGGCTGAGCTATTTCACTAGTACTCTCTTAGCCAGAACGAAGATGGCTGGGTTTATTATTTAAGAATAAGATGTCGCCGAGAAAAGATAATAAAGAACACCCCAGATAAATATGTAAATGACGACGATTTTTTCTGGATTTGTAGGAATTTTGAAGACTAGGAGGCCCAGATCACAGGCGACCGAATTAACTGGAACAAAGGAGTCGCCGGTATAAACACCTCAGCTCAGTGTCGTGCTTTCTCTACTTTGTTGTTCTTATTTTCAATCGTACTAACCGTTGTCTTTTTCCTTTATACAGACTTGAACCATCTAAAGTCGTTGTACAGTTACCCTAACCTTGACACACTCCACGCCACACTGAGATATCCCAATCGAGGTTGGGCCGAACTACTCAACTTTGAGCCGACGTATAGATACAGCAGTAGGCGAAAGACCAGGGTGACAGACTTCCTGTTGGAGCTTTCGCCAGAACCAGACCTAACCTTGCCTCAAATCAACTTGATCCCTTTAACTACAAAACAAGAAATGGCTAAGAAGAGAGTAATAAGGGCCCTTATCACCGAGACAAACCAACCCGAGGTACCACAAGCCGGTCAAACACAGCCGGACGTGGTAGCCCTTCCAATTGCTCAACCGTCCTCATCTCGGCCAAGCAAGCGTGCTCGGTCTTCTACTACCGAGCCACGCCTTGTTGATGAGGATGAAATAGTGCTTTCCCAAACCACGCCACCGAGCCCGCAGCCTGAGCGTTCTGACCGGGCTAGC